GGGGGGCGGAAACCAGGACAGGCTGCTTATTCCGCCACGCGTCGACGAGTGCCCCTCCCATACCGCCTGTACCGCCTGTACCGCAGTGTACGAGGCCGCCCGCGCGCTCATCGGCTACATCACCCCAGAATTCGACGAGATACAGCGGGTGGGTGGCTGGGCGGTACACAACAGCTGTACTGCCCCGCTGTGCTCGCGGGGGCTCGGGCTCGCTTGCGGCCGGCTGGCTGGCTGGCTGGCTGGCAAGCGCTTGCCTGCGAGGGTTTGCAGCGCATGCGTTGGCAGGGGCAGGCTTGCTGCGCAGGCTGCGGCACGTGCTTGGGGGGTCGGGGCGGGCTCCTTTTCCACAGTACCACAGTTTGCGGTTGGTGCCGGGGCGGGGGTGGGGGCCGGACGCAGAGTGTGGGGGGGTGTGGCTATGTGGCTGGGGCGGCCGCCGCCAGCTGGTGGCGCGTGGGTGCGCGGCATCGGCACCTGCGCTGCCCGCCGCCGCTCGCCTGCCCTGCGCTCGCCTGCCCCACCGCTCGCCTGCCCACCCTGCTCACCTGCCCAACCCCACCCCCTGCACCTCGCCAGCCCCTCGCCACCTGCCCCTCGCCACCTGCCCACCCTGCCCACCCTACCCTCCCGCCTGCGCCCCCGCAGGTCTCTGTGTGCCCGGGCGGGGCCGCCTCCGGCTACACCTACTTCCTGCCCAGGGTGGGTGGCGGTACCGTCCCTGCAGCAGTACCGCCTGGCCCTGCATGCCTGACGCGGCGCGGGAAACGCAGCCGGCAGTTCCACCCTCACCCAGCCTCTGCCCTTTGCCGCTGGGCGACGCCGTGGGGACCCCTGCCAGCCACAGGCACACACACCGGTGCTTTCTTTTCACGCTTTCTTGTCCCGCTTTCTTTTGTCCAGGAGGAGACGCTGGAGAGCCGGGTGGTGACGCGGGGCTACATGGAGGCCAAGATGGTGAGACGGCAGGCGGTACCGTCGGCAGTACCGGCGTCGCACACAAGCGGCGCATGCGTGCTGCTGCCGCCTACCGCCCTTTCCCTTTCACAGCCTTTGGCCCGCTCCCTCCCTCTTCCACCTCTTTTCTCTCTCTCCCTTCTCCCTTCAACCTTTTTGTCTCCCCACGCCTTTCCTCACCCCTCCTTTCCTCCCCGCCCGCAGGTGGTGGCGCTGGCGGGGCGCTGCGCCGAGCGGCTGGTGCTGGGGGAGGCCAACGTGTCCACTGCAGGGGCGGCGCACCTGCAGGTACTGCACTGCAGTACCATACAGCGGTGCAGCCCTGGCAGCGGCAAACCCTGCACCAGCTGGAGGGCCGGGGCCGCCGAGGGGGCGGCTGCGCATGGGCGTCAGCTGCGGCCAGCCGCCGTGCCCTCCTGCCCCACACGCCGCCACCACGGCTGCCCCAGCACCTCAACACACCACGCGTCGGCTTAGCTGCCTGCCCCCGCCTCGCCCTGCCTGCCCCCGCAGGCCGCCAACCTGATCGCCCGGGAGATGGTCTTCCGCTGCGGCTTCAGGTGTGGTACCAGCGGTACCACCAGCACCAGCAGGGTG